GGGTTTCAGGGGTTTTAGGGTTTAGGTGTTATAGGGTTTAGGGGTTTTAAGGTTTAGGGTTTAGGGGTTTAGGGTAAGCCCTAAGCCCTTAAACTCTAAACCCTAAGACCCGAAGGACTCAGATTTCAGGGTTTTAGGGGCCCAAAGGCCATACTACAATGTAGGGGCAATTAAAATGTGGTTTTGAGAGTCTTTATGGCAACTTTATGGTATATTTGTAATGAGGAGCTCCAAGAATAATATCGGCAATTTTTTAGGCTTCCATTACAAGGTTTTGGGAATATTTTGTGCTTAATTGCAGGGCAGCAAAGCCCATGGTACACCCACGTGAAGCAGCTAGCTGTTCTTTAAGAGGATGGTGTACAATTTGTTGAGGCCGAAGTCTTGCAACACCCAAACCGCAAGCAACCAAGCCCCTAAACCCTGAACTCCTCACCATGGAGTAACCCGTATAGAAACCTTTAAAGATCCCTAACCTCGTTGACCCCCAAACCTTAAACTCCAAACTTGGGGTTTAGGGCTTCAGGTTACCTCAACCCTTATCCTTAACCCATAGACTGGAACCCTTACCTCCTGGATTGTACGATCCTGCGTACCGCATTGAGATCTACGCGTATGCCTTTCGTGTCTTCGCTAGGTCTCTCCGTGTACCTAAACCCTAAATCTTAAACCTCAAACCCTAAACCCTAAACCTCAAACCCTAAACCCTAAATCCCAAACCCCAAACCCTAAACCCCAAAGCCTAAACCACTGACGAATGTCCGACCGAACCCTAAACCCTTAACCCCAAAACCCTAAAAACCCCCAAACCTAAAACCCTACAACCCCAAACCCTACAACCCCAAAACCCTAAACCCCAAGCCCTAACCTTGGACAGGGCTGGGTCTTGGAGCACGAGCGAAAGAATGGCTGGGCCCATGAGATCGAACCCGAGAAGCGTCGAACTCAGAACCTTGGTTTAGGGTTTAGGGTTTGGGGTTTTAGGGTTTAGGGTTTAGGGTTTAGGGTTTGGGGTTTTAGGGTTTGGGGTTGTGGGGTCTTAGGGTCTGGGGTTTTAGGGTTTGGGGTTTAGGGTTTGGGATTTCAGGGTTTAGGGTTTGGGGCTTGGGAATTGAATTGGGGCAAGTTTGGGGAGTAGGGATGAGGGTTGCGGGTCGACGGTTTGTGGTTTAGGGTCTATCCATAGGCCCTATAGTGGTTCCTTTTTGGGGTTCATATGTAGAACCCTATGAGGTAATCCCAAAAAGGAACCACTATGGGGCCTATGGGTAGCTTAGACTTATGTGGGAGCTAGGATTAGGGGGACCCTTGGGGATATAGACCCTCTCAATAAGGTCCCTTTTAAGAGGGCCCAAAAGCAGGGTTCAGAAGGAGTACCCTTTAAGGGGTGCCCCTAATAAAACTACCTATTAGGTGTGTCGGGCTTATGCTTGGTGTTGCTCTTTGTGTTTTCCCTTATCTGCTTGCGTGTGATGAATGTTACTATCCGGCTCCCGGTGTAGCGTACTAAAGGGTTTGGGTTTAGGGTTTA